GGAATAGGCAAATAAAAATGACATGGAAAATATGTGGTAGCGTGCATGTGCTACACTGCAGATTTAAATCTGGTTTTGGTCTCTTAGGGTGGTCAAAATTCCACTTCGAAAGTACTCGGGGTAATAGATCTCCCGGAAAGTTTGAGCGTGTAACTGAAAATTTCATTATAATTCAGGGGCGATTTTTATGTATTATCCCAAGCATGAGATAATACATAAAATCCCATTGATAATAAATAAAAAGCATTAAACTTGAAACCTTTCAAGTTTCACCATTGATAATTATTATACTATGTGCTATATTATACATGTAATAATAGTATTTTGATGGGACCTTTATTTTTTGGCTTCAATGGCCAAACAAATCCAAAAACTAAAAAACATAAAATTTGAAACCTTTCATATAATTATATAAATTATGTGTTACATATAATAGTAGTGTTTCCGGGCCCTTATTTTTGAAGAATTAACCTAAATAGTTGTTCATCCAATCACTTAAATTAAAATTAGCCCATGAATGTATAATATATATATATAACATATGCATAACCATGTATAATCAGTATATAATCGGTGTATACCGACTAGGAAAAGTAGTGAATCCGGCAGGCTATTTTTGTAAAGATCCCTATTTTTTTTTTGTGCGGCTTCAATGGCCTTACGTTGAAGCCAGCCTTCGTAAGGTACTTGCTGTTAGGAAGGTTAGTGGTGGATGGTGGAAGCTGATCATCTGTCTTATGACCATATCCACTTTCATCCTCAGGCATATGAAATTTGGTTCTTGATCTTTGTTTGGAATTACTATTTTTGTCTCTTTTTCATGACCCAATTTGTTGGTGGGAATTTTACCAAAGAATTGGCCGTCTCTTGCATGGATATGCAGTGAAGATAAGATAGCAATTAGTAGGAAGAGGAAGGAGGTAAGATGCTTGACAAGGAATGCCATGGAAGAGGGATAAAGAGTAAGAGAGATAGATTATATCAATTGTATAATGCCCAAGTGTGTCACATAAAATGGACAAACACTAATATTTTACCCACTAAAACATTACTCAATAACTGAAAACGAAGCACTAATACTGGAACTTATGACATGTTGCTCACATTAACTTAAAACTATTGCAGAATTAAAAAGCTAGTTCAAGGCATGTCCCCTTCTGGTTGGAACTCCTCTTCATTCTCATACTTCACAAAATTAACGTTGTTGTAGTTGCTTAACTCATTGTCAGCATAGGAATTTGCAAATTCCCTTGAATTTTCATATGGATCCCTCACATACTTCTCTGTATTGACTTCATAGGAGTATTTCCCATTTTCCAAAAATCTTGTGTCACTCATTCTCTGCTGCTGCACCCTGTGACCATTGTCACCATCGTAGTGGTTATAGTCAAGGGGATAGCTTTGTTCTTGATCGTTGTAGTAACTGTTGCCAACACTGTTGCCAGGGTAATTATTGTTGTAGTTGTAATTGCTACCACCATTGTGGTATTGATTGTGGTTGTAAGTACTGCCACCACTATAGTACTGATTATTGTTGTCTTCGTTGTCATAAGTATTGTGATCACCACTGCAGTATTGGTTGTAGTTGTTATTATTGTTGTCGTCGTTGTTGTTATTAGGATTGTCCTGAGGGACAATAACATAAGCAACAGGGTTGTAATTCTTGGGAAGGTACTTGCTATTAGGAATGTTATTTGTGGGGTTAGTAGTAGAAGGTGAAAGCTGACCTGATTCATGATCATAAACACCATAGCCATTTTCATTTTCAGGTATGAAATTTGGTTCTTGCTCTTTGTTTGGAGTTCCTTCCTTTGTCTCTTTTTCACGACCATTGTTGGTGGTGGAAATTTTGTTGAAGAATTTGTTGTCTCTTGCATGGATTTGCAATGAAGATAAGAGAGTAATTAGGAGGAAGAAAGATAAATGATTGGCAAGAAATGCCATGGAAGATAGCTAAGAGAGTAAGGGAAAGAGAGATGATGTGAATGTGTGTAGTGTTGGTAACATTAATGGTCACTCTCTCTTTATATAGAAATCCTTTTGTCATTTTTAAGTGTGTAAATATCGAGTACAAGTAAATATTTTTTGTAATATATATGAGTTCTTCCTAATCATTCCTTAATTTGTTCATACTCTCTACATATTTTATTTACAGATCTCTTATGATATTTTTTACTGATCTCTTGTGAAAAGAGTCATATGCTAAAATAACATATGTAATGGACTACAAAACTAATTCTCTTGTTTTTTGACCTTTTTATATTTATTTTAAGCCATATTGTGAAAAATCATCCTAATTAGTAATATCGCCATGACCGGAAACTTCGATATGGAAGAAATGATCTCTTACATCCACTTATGACCCTACAAACATCTCTTGTGTTTTATTTACAGATTTTCTATATTACTTTTTACTGATCTTCTGTGAAAAGAATCATATAACTAAAATAACATATGTAATGACTTACAAAACTAATTCTCTTCTATTTTGACCTTTTTATATTTATTTTTAAAACCATATTGTAAAAACTCATCTCAATTAGTATGTTACGATTCATTTCCATAATAGGTCATGATGACGCCCAACACCCTTGCCGGGCAAGCCAATGCGGAAAAATACTAAACAAACTTTCGCTCACCTTTACCCAAAAAAATAGTTGAAATAATTCTTTAAGTTGAAATAAAAATTAGAAATGATTAATAAAATCATAATAATCATACAACCCCAAAATGATATAGTCTAATAATGTGTGTGTCAAGACCTAGTGTCACAAGTTGTGGGCAACTAGTAGAATATACAAAAGAATCACACTATCCTATTGTCCGAAACAGAATAGACAACAAAAAAACATAAGAAAGACTTCCTCAGGCTGCTGAACGGCATGGGAGGGAAACAGCTCAACGTAGAAGTCTCGAGTCCGCTCAGGGATGCGTACCAGACTGATAGCCAGATACACCTGCTTCAGATCCTGTACAATTAAGTACATAAGTGTAGTATGAGTACATAAACAATATGTACCCAGTAAATATCCCGTCTAATCTCGAAGAAGTAGAGACAAGAGGCCGACTTGATACTTACTAGGGTCAAATAATATGAGAAGAATTTATAATAAGCACAGATAGCACAATTTATTAACGTTTTATGGCAATGAGTAACAGTTCTTTTTCCAAATAATGTCATGATATCCATTTACATTTTTCAAAGCATATCTGAAGTTCAGTCCACCGAGAAATACTACGCAAAGCATGCGCAAATAACACCGAGGGACGTACGGCCTGATCCAACATAAAAGTAAAGTGTGCACTACCGAGGGTCGAACGACTCGAACCATAGATGCATCTATTACCCCGCTCGCTAATCACACGTGCGACGCGGTCAAATATAAATAAGCTCATCAACAAGCAGACAATAATATATATATCAGAGGGGTAGTTATTCATAGGAATATCCAAATTCTCTTTTAAAAGACCAAACAGGATAAGGTTCCTCTACTAGTCTCTTTTACCTTAATCAAAATAATTTATACGAATCCGAATTTAGCATCAAGCTACAAGAATATCATGTAGAGCATGCTTTGGGTCCTAGACTACCCGGACTTAACATAGTAGTAGCTATGCACGGACTCTCGTCACCTAGTGCGTACGTATCCCCCGCATATAAGAACAATTAATTTCATTATTACACCTATGGGGACAATTCCCTCTTACAAGATTAGAAAGGAGACTCACCTCGCTCCAAAGTGCACTTCCAATACCAAGAACGAGTCCAAGCCCTCAATTCGGAGTCGAACGATCCCAAACTAGTTAAATGAGGTAAGAACTAGTCAATATAGGTTCCAAGATCGAATTCTAGCTATTTAAGCAATTTTCCAACCTTTAACACAAGTTTCCTAAAATCCGCCCCCTGGGCCCACTTGCCCGGATTCCGAAATTTTTCGAAGGAAGTTGTTCTCTATAATCTAAGGATCGATAAAATATGATTTCTAATTTATTCCATAGCAAATTTCGTGGTTAAATCTAACTTTTACTAAAACCCTAGATTTTTGCTCTAACTCCATGATTTCACCTTAATACTAGTGTTTAATCTACCCAAGATGAAATCATTAAACTAGAAATAGGTAGAACACATTACCTCAAGATGCTAGGTGAAGATCTTCTCTCAAAAGCTCTAAAATCGCCAATGGAAGAGTGAAAAAGTGATAAAAATGACTTAGAACCCGTATTAATGAACCTCACTACCTCAACGATTTCCGCATCTGCGTTCCCGCATCTGCGAGAAGAGGACCGCATCTGCGAAAGGGGCTAAAATGGTTGGGACCGCTTCTGCGGTCTTGAGGACGTATCTGCGATGAAAGGACCGGTTTTGCGGTCTCACACCTGCGGTCCACCAACCGCAGGTTCGGTTATGACAGAAGTAGTTGCTTCAGCTCTTCTAAAAAATTTCCACTTCACTTGAGCCTCGTCCGATTGATGCTTAGGGCTCCCGGGCCCCGCCCGAACATACCGACAAGTCTGAAATCACGAGACGGGCCTTCTTGAACCTTCGGAACACCCAAAACAATGCTAAATCTAGGAATCACCCCCTAAAACCAAATGAATCAAACTTATGAACTTCAAGTTCTTAATTTTCCTTTAACGGGCCAAAACGCCCTTAAACTACTCGGATTGACTCCAAATTTTACAGGCAAGTCTTAAATGATATTTCGGACCTGTACCGGACTTCGGAACCAACATACGAGCCCGATTCCTATGAAATCAATCATTAATTCATTTCTTTAAATCCTTAAAACTTCAGATTAACAATTTCTAATAAAATATTCATTACTCGGGCTAGGGACCTCAGAATTCGATTCAGGGTATACGCCCAGGTCCCATATTTTTTCACGGACTCTCCGGGACCATCAAATCACGAATCCGGGTCCGTTTGCTCAAAATATTGACCAAAGTCAAACTTAGTCTTTTTAAGAAAATTCTAAGGAAACAAATGGGCATATTTCACTCCAAACTCTTTCGAATCCCGAACCAACCGTCCCGCAAGTCGAAAATTAGCAAAAGCAAGCACTGAAAGTTTTATTTAAGGGAACGAGGTTCTAGAAGGCATAACGACCGGGTGGATCGTTACATAGTAATATCTACATGACCGAAAAATTCGATATGGAGTAAATGATCTCTTATGTCCACTTATAACCCTACAAACATATGTTATTTTTTACTTATCTCTTTTGAAAAGTGTCATATAATTAAAATAACATTTGTACTGGACTATAAAATTAATTCTCTTGTATTCTAACCTTTTTATACTTATTTTGTAAAACAAATACACATTTTTGGGTACTTTATTAGAAGTTTAATATCCATGAAGTGTCTATTTCAATCTTTCATCCAAAGTTCAAAGTATTCTCTTATTGGAAAGGAACATGAGATGAAGGGTTTAGTTTGTCTTTGTGTGAGGGTGTGGGATGGTAGAAGCAGACCTTTTGTTCCATGCCATGTTCTTAGAGACTTAGGCTCATAAAAAGTTAAAAAAAGTGAATATATCCATATCTTTCCATCTGCTGCAACTGTAAGATGTACGTGGTACGGCAACATAAGGTAAGGTCTAGAGCTACATTCACACATGAGTAGTTATACTATCCACTTTGGTAGATTTTTAATATATAAAGTATTTGGGAAGCATCGAATCTTTGTACATGTTTAGACGTATGTGCAGAATTCTGTAATACAGACCGACTTCAAGGTACGATCACTTATGTTGAATACATAGTTAAGTAAATAAAAATGTGTTCTCTCTAACAGCTTAAACTCTTAGATGAGATGATTACACACTTAAACATGATATCAAAGCAGACAGAGGTCCTAAGTTGATACAAACGAAGTTTATATCCAATTATCCACACTTAGCGGAAAACAGAGTTGGCGGTACGAAGGTGAGAGGCGGATGTAGCACTGGGGCACAGGGTTCATCTGAACCCAGTACTTTCAATACGGAACATAAATTTATGTGTAAAAGTTCACTAAAATTGCAACAAATAGTAGGCCTGAATCCTTAATTTTAAGAATGCAACGAGTTTCAACAGTAAGAAATTTAAAGATTGAATCCATAAGCTCAAATTGCTCAGGACTCCGAGCATAACTTGAGGAACAGAAAAATGAGATATTACGTCCGTTTCAGTACTCACAGCAAACATTATGACAACAAAAGAATTACAAAAAATGATATTGCGAAAAACTAGGCAACGCTGAAGTATACAAGTCTCTCTTATGGTTTGAATGTTTGATTATATAAGAATGGACAATCAGGTACTATTACCAACATGCTACAAACCAGTTACTATGTATAATCTTTAGCTTAATTTATACTCGCAGTCTAAACAAAATTGATATCATGCATCGCAATTGTTTAGTACTACAAATCTTTGATTCATCTTTAAGGCCCTTGATATACTATTATTGAAAAAGAACCGGTATAACCAAAGGCAAATTTAGGATTTAAATTTTTGATGTTTTTAGCACTAAACTCATACTTCTAAACTTGTGGTTTATAATCTAATATTTGTTGAATTTTTAGTGGTTCCTTGACGTATATATATCCTTATTTACTGTCGAAAATACTGGGTTCAGTTAAACTCATTGTCCAAAATTTCCATCTACTTCTGGGCAAAGGTGTACATATGTGTAATGGTAAGGGGTCAGCGGACCCTGTAAACTTCGGCCAAAATCTTGTATATGTCTACGTGTATACCTTGAAAATGGTTAATTTAAAGCAGTTGGACCCTGAACACTAAAAGTCTCCCCGTCGCGTAAAAATTATGGGTCCGCCTCTGCTTCTAGGTACAACTATATGTCTATTGATTAGGATTTGTTTGGATTTCTTGAGCCAATTTCCTTGTCAACTTGTCAGCGCGGTCATCTTGCCCACCAGCAAAAGTATACACTCTGAATGCAAATTGGAATGCCTTCCATAGTAGTTTACTTGATCCCAGCTTTTTGTGCCCATCATTTTTTGTCTTTGCTTCTCTCCTCTCCTGAGTCAATGGTCCAATATTATCAAAAAGTTCACCAAATTATCAGGACCAGTAATTTTCATAAGAGTTAACAACATATTACTACATCGTACTAACCTTCAAGACAAGTTCCATGCAGTTTGAGGAAACATCTACCATTAATTCTTTGATACGCACGATAATGCCAAAATCAAAATGAATGTTATGGCTAATAAATTTCTTGGACTCTTCATCTTTTGTTCGATCCAGTGTTTCAATTTCTCCTTTGATCTACGCGACAGAACTATTTTTTAGAGCTGTTATAAGCAGATGAATACTAATACTTAAGAGTTGTGAGATTCAGGAACTTAGTTTCTTATGTACCTTGTTAAAGTAACTCTCAGCTTTGTCAAGGAGTTCGCCAACAGGTGAGACTATCGGCCAATTCTTTAGAGTAGTGGCTATTGAGTCTAACTTGGAATGCAATGCTGCTGCCATCCTAAGTTCTTCCAACTTTTTAGTAGGAAAATCTTCAAATCTTGCTAGCACCTGCAGCAAGAAACGTTCAAGCCAACGTCGTGAAATGGGAGTATGAACAAAGCAGATATATATATACGAACCTGAGATTCATCGGTTAATTTCTCAAGGCGAGATTCTACATATTTGTGGAACTTGGCGAGCTCGGACATGTCTGATGTTTGAAAAGAAGCAATAGCCGTTTTTATCTCCTTGATTGTTTTTGCGTGATTTATAACATCCTCTTCAATTTGGTGGAAATATGCTGACCTGAGACAAACATTGCACATCCCAAAATATATAATTCAAAATTACTGAAAAATGCGACATTCTACCAAATAATAGGTGAGGATCTTAACAAGATTACCTCTTTGTCATTTCTGCTAATGCATCAGCCATTCCCTGTTTACCTCCTGCTGAAGCACTAACTTTCCCTGTTCTCTTCTGTGATTTACTATCTAAACTAGAGCCTTCAACTTGGCTCTTGAGAAGTCGATAAAGATTACCCATTTGGGACGATCTTTTCAATTTAGTGGCTGCTCTCTTAACTCGTAAGACACCCACAAATCCTAGTGGTGGTGGAGGTGCAGGTCCCTTTCCCATCGGCATGGGTGGAGGTGGCGCTGGCACTGCTCCATTAGAAGTCTTTGGTGGAGGTGGGGGTGGAGGTGTCATACCCTTTGATCCGATTGGAGGTAGCGGTGGAGGTGGAGGTGTTATTACATTTCCGGATGTCATGGGAGGTGGCGGTGGTGGAGGTGGAAGTGTTATTATGTTTCCTGCTGTCTTAGGTGGCAGTGGAGGTGCCATACCCTTTGATCTGATGTTAGGTGGCGGTGGAGGTGGAGAAGGTGGAAGTGTTGTTATGTTTACTGTTGTCTTGGGTGGCAGCGGAGGTGTGATACCCTTTGATCCGATGGTAGGTGGTGGTGGAGGTGGAGGTGATATTACATTTTCGGATGTCATGGGAGGTGGCGGTGGTGGAGGTGGAACTATTGTTATGTTTCCTATTGTCTTAGGTGGCGGTGGAGGTGGTGGAGGCACCGCCATGGGACGTGGTGGGGGTGGAGGCGAAGATGGAGGTGGAGGTGTTACTATGTTTCTTGATGTCATTGGTGGTGATTCTATGACATTTGGAGATAATGCAAATGGTGATAGTGGAGCTGCTGCCTGTTCTGCCATATATGATCTCAACTTAGGAAGCGTAGATGGAGGTAAACGCACGTCCAATGAAACAGGACTTGACACTGGTTGATTTTTTGAAGCACCAGTGCAACATTTTGCTCCACTTTCTGATACATTGTCCATATCAGTCAGTAGAATATTTGGAGAGTCCGTCATGTCACAATCTTGGCCAAATTCACAATCATCCCCTGCTTGTATTTCTGATTTTTGTTCATTAAAATTAGTTGCTAGTTGAACAACACAATCTTGATCTTGCTCTATTGCATGAGGCAGCAAGTGGAAATAGAGACGTTTTACATCTATAGGATTCAGCTTCTCAATTGCTTGAACCTTTAGTTCACTCTTCTGTGAACCATTGATTACTATCTCAGAGAGAACGGAAGTTGGCGTAGGTGGAGGGCTTGAGGGGGAGGACTCATTGCTCGAGTAAGACTCTGACAGAGGCCTCCCAAAGGTGTCGGATGAAGGAGTTTCATCTCTTGTCTGGTCATCCACGTCCATCATATCGAACACCCTTTCAGTCGCTAGCTTAATCATCTCATCAAGCAATATCAATCCTAACCAGTAAATGTTGAAGATATAACTAAATAAATAAAACGTGTCATTTCTACCAACTCAACCTATTAAATGAAACGATCGCACAATTCAGCAATAATACTCAGAGCTGAGAGGTGAATAAAAGAGGCAGAACATTGCCAGCATCCATGTAACATTATGACGTACCATAACGCTTTAGATCGTCATGTAGTTTACTATCTGAGTCCTCATCCAACTCCGCCATGAATTTATCATCACCCATCCATATTTCCCCGATTGATTTAAGAGTATCACAAAAGCATTCCAGCGCCTGATACATATATGTATGTATGACAATTTGGTTAGCAAAGTTAGTTGTGATCTTCCATAGAAAAACGCACAATTCAGCGAGTAAATAGGTAACCTGATTCATTCCCACTCCAATATTTGATAATGGAACATTTGGGTTGACGGAAGGATACAACTTATATAGATCCTTCAGGGTCAATATCAGCAGCTGTAACAAAAAGATGTTCATATATAACAGAAGTTAAAAGACTTGCCACTATTCTTGTCTGAACACTACAAAACAATGTCTATTTTCGGACGTTTTATTGCAAAAGTTACTATTAACCTCCACAAATTGCATTAACCAACAACAACAACAAAACCACTTCAGAGGCTATTTCCGAAAGACCTTCGGCTAAAAACAAGATGAAAGATGCAGTGGCAACAAATGATAACAACAACAAGATATTGAGAAAATCGAAGCGAAAGAAAGCAATCAAACAGCAGGTAGTACCAGCAATCCAAGAATAAAGAGATATTATGCTAACACTCATGTTACCAGTCAAGGAAAGAAAAAGGAAAACGCTCGACTGCCTACTAACCTTCCACCCTAATTCTCGACCTCTACACCCTAATTGCATCAAATTGCGGCAATTTAACTAAACCTCCACAATTTGACACAATTTGACACAATTTGAATAAAGTGACAGAAGAATACCTCATTTACAGATGCAGAACCCAAACAAGGTGATAGATCAAGCAAGTCTCTCAAGGTGAGGATCTTGCTCCTGAGGGCTGTCATTATTATGAAGTTGTCTGCAACCCCACATGAATTGTGAACTCTAGAGCCTTTGGTTGCGCTCAAACTTTTCGATACTATAATGGAAGGTGTTTTTTGTGTTTCTTTATGAGTAAGTACATTTGTCTCGTACATATCGTCATCCTGGCAATACAAAAATTACTGTTAGTATTCGCTACGAAACTGGAATTAGCTATGAACTTCATCATTAATCTGACGCTAAATTACTCATAGCTAACAAAATTTCTTGATAATCTGTTGTTAATTAATTCATCGATAAATAGGATGAGCGACGGATTTTTCTGTTTAGCTACAGAATTTGTCTGTTGCTAATTCCTGTTTTTTAGTAGTGATCATACTATCAATGAAGGAAAATGCAACTATTTGAGTTCTCCAATCTCTTTAACTTACATTATGACAGTAAGATCATCCATATCTCCAAATACAAGATGAACAATTTCATTTTTGAGGTAAAAGAAATTTCTCAAAACTTCATTAGACCTATATGGTTTTGTGACATGAATATGCTTGTGTTCTTCATCTTCCTTAACAAACTATTCTTATCAAAGTAGTCCCACATCATGGTCGAGCGGAGTTTATTTTTTGTCCAGACATAATAAATAATTAAAAGTGTGATATCTCTGACAGCTTAAACTTTTATATATATATAATTGGGTGATCGCACAATTCAACATGATACCATAACAGACAGAGGTCTGGCGTGTAAGCCTCATCATCACCCATTATCAAAGAATTTCATCGTGCTTGGTCTTAGAAAAAGTGTCAGGCATACACGTCTGGAAGACGTAATTAAGAAATTAAAATTAAGCTTTGTCTAATAATTTAATCTTGCAGACGAGATGGTCGCACATTTCCAACGTTCCGCTTATAATGTGTTTGGTTATACGATAAAAATCGAAATTAAAGAAAGGATAATATTACCTCAAATGTGGAGAGCTTCGTGGGGGAAAAGTGAGGAGCCACAACACAGCATTCCCCAGATTGCATTTGCAACCAATTAAAATAACAAGTTCCAAATAGGCTTGAAGAAAAAGGCAACAATAATAAAGAAAATGATGATTGTAGCAGTTCAATATTCTTATTGATTTTGACAATTAGAAACCGAGAGTTTCTTGGGGCAAATAATTTGTGAGCAGCAACAATAATATAGTATATATAATTCAAATAACGGAGGAGGATGAAGATGATGAAAAACATTAAAATATCTAAGCTTTCCTATTCTCCTTTGTTCCCAAAAAGAGGGAGAAATGAAAGTCAAATTCTTGAAATAAATTTTCTTGTTTTATTTAGGCCGAACGTATGTTTCGGGGGCTCAATGCTGCCTCTTCCTCTTCCTACATTAGCACATTTGGTCTTTTCCTTTTACAGAACACTAAACTAAAAATCTTTTGGAGGGGTTATCAACCCTTTCGTGTGAGGTGCTAACGGCTAGCTTAACTAAGCTATGTTTATTTGTTTTAAAAAATTAAAATGTCCGTAAAATTCAAATAAAGAATTAAACATTATATCTATAAAATATTTTATAAATTTTCTTAATTTAATACAAAAATTATTTGTTTAAGAAAGCATGGTGGTGATAGATGTGATGATAATGGTCCCTATCAGCAACTATGGTTGCGAGTTAGTTGGCAAGTGGTGGTTGGTAGTATATAATGGTTGTGCATTTGTAGTGGTGGTAGTGGTTCGTGGAGGTGGCTACCTATGGATATGTTGTGCCGTAGTGGTAGTTGACAACACGGACGAATTTACAATTTAAACTCTATGAGTTCAACCTTCAATAATTTTGATATTAAACTTATTATGTTTTTAAACTATGAGTTTATACCTACTATTAGTTTCAATTTTAGTAATACACATAAATTCATATTCCACGCAAAAAGTGATTGATTCAATTGAACTCGCCCATGTAATGCTACATCCGCTCCTGACTGGTAATGATAATCATGTTGTAATAGTTGGTGGTTGGTTATCATATGCGTAGTAGTAGACAAAGTGATAGTAAAATGCTACATTCACGAGAATTTTCAAGTGAATAGGAGCATCTTAATGATCTTAAAACTATAAAATTTGCATGAAGTTATTCAAAGTTTGTTTTGTGCGTTCAGAGATTGATATAGTTTGGTTTGCTGCATTAAGATTGATATGATTCATTAATATTGATATGTTGCTGCATTCTGTATAGCATTTTGTATATGTGACCAATGTCTAAAAGGAACCAAATAAATTATAAATCATGTTAACGAAAAGAAAAGAGGTCCCGCCGAGATTTGAACTCGGGTTACTGGATTCAGAGTCCAATGTCCTGACCACTAGACCACGGGACCAACTTTGCAAGAAGGTGCACATAGAAATTATAAGACAAAACGCATAGGGTTATAAACTTGTACTAATTCCCAAAATTTTATAAGTATTCATAAAACTGCACATTTGACTGATGTACGTTAACCTTTTCAGTTAAATGTTTTGACTTGACTATCTACCTATGAAGCTACCTTAAGAAAGCAATCTATTCATTATTGTCCCATTAAGTCAACACATTTTGTCAAATGAATTATTTTAGCTAGTGAAATCAGTTGAAAATGTATTTGGGATAAGATTCTACTAGATTGTGCTTTTTTAACATTGTTGGTGTTGGTTGAGATTATAGTTGTTGTTCAAATAGATTTTAATTTTTTCTCCATAAGATACATTTGGTCACTCAAGTGTGGGACTGTATGAAGGTTCATAAAATTGTAGAATCTTCTTCTAGGATCTGTTTGGAAAACTGCCTGGTAATTATAATTGGTGTGTAATTACATAATATATTAATTATGATGGCCTGGTTATTTGTCATAACGTAATTACAGAGTAATTAAAAGCGTACTGTTTGATTGCACATGTGTAATTATATAGTTAGATTAAATTTTAAATGAAGTAATTATCAAAACTTAAAAGTTAATATANGTAAATATATATATATATATTGCAAATTAATAATACTTATTTTAATTAATTATAGAAACTAAAAACATACGTCTTGTAGAACATTATGGAATGCATGTTTGATAAAATAAAGTAATATTTATAAATATAATGTCATAACATTATTTCAATTTTTGATAAAACTAATTTAATCAATTCTAACTGAATACATGCAATGTGAAATAACAAGTCAATATTACTAAAATAACTAAATTAGAATCATAAATATAACACAATTTAAAATTCAAAAAATAAAAAATAGTTTAACATATGTCAAATTTCAACATAATAAAAATATGTTCTAATACAACTTAAGATTCAAACGACAATAATAACCCAGTAGAGTCCCACTAGTGGGGGACTGTGGAGGGTAGAATGTGCGCAGCCCTTACCCCTACCCCTGGGGTATAGAGGCTATTTTCGGGAGATCCTCGGCTCATAGAATAGATCAGTGACGACAACAGAAACTAGAAAAATAATATCAGCAACGTCAGAGACAACAAATTAATGGAAAAGCAATAACACAAATATTATGCAAAAGTGTGAAACACAACATAAACTGCTAGCAGTCCTAGACAAAATACTATCAGACTAGCTGGTACAAAGAGGAAAAATGCTCGACTACCCCTTAACCTACCTCCCTAATACTTCTTAGACTTTCAATGAATTTCAACCATACCCATTGAAAAATATCCTTTTTACTTAGACATTTGGAATCTTGTATATATTTGGGAAACTACCAATTATGTCCATTTATAAGTAGTTTATTACAAAAATTGACCAATTCATTAAATTTTACTAATATTAGCCAAATGTTATCAATATTAGCCAATTAGCTAGTTGTATCCAAAAAAGGTTAAATTTTTGTTTTCTTTTGAGTGAATGTATGAGAAAAGATTGGGTACATGTTAAGTAGTTTTAATCCCAGTTTTGAGATGATTTAACAGAGTTTTTAGGTAGTTTGAATTAAAAATTCGGAGTAATAATAATAATAATAATAATAATAATAATAATAATAATAATAATAATAATAATAATAATAATAATAATAATAATAATAATAATAATAATAATATTGTGTATCATATTTGTATCAAATATGTATCACATGTATATTCATTTATACCTCTGTGCTTGATACATATGTGATACATATTTGATACATGTGTCGCAAAATAATTTTTTGAACTCGATTTTAACTACGAATGTTAATACCAAATCAGTCCAACTCACCTCTAGTCTTCCTCAAAATTTGTATATTGACTCATATATGTGTTTTCAATGAATTTCAACCACACCCAATGAAAGTATCCTTTTTGCTTAGACTTTTGGAATCTTGTATATATATTTTTCTTGTATTCCATCGCCTTATTTGCCACCTCATCCATAAAAAAAAAATTTATCTTGCATCTAATGTTGTTATCATGCTTAAAAATATGAAATGAGATCTTTGTGTGTGCTTCTTGGAGAGAAAAAGCCTTATTTATTTGGATTTTCAATGTTTATATGTGCATGATTAGTTTTGGTAAGTCTATGATTAATGGCTAGAGGTTGGTAAGTTATAACTTATTTGGGATATTTATGTAAGATTCCCCTAATAACAACTAGAGAATTACCATATGTGTCAAAAAGTTACACTTAACATTTAGAAACTTTATTTTTGACCTTTTCAATTAATTAAAGAATTCTTATTTTCATGCATGGTCATTGTAACGATTCGACCGATCATTTTTTTTAGAACCTCTTTCCCTTAAATAATACTTTCCGTACGTACTTTTACTGTTTTATGACTTGCGGGGATGGTTAGTTCGGGAATTAGAAGAGTTCGGATTGAAATCGGAACATTTGGTTCCTTAAGTTGGCCATAAAAGGCTAAGTTTAATTTCGGTCAACGTTTTGAGTAAATGACCTCGGAATCGAGATTTGACTATTGCAATAGGTTTTTATGATGATTTCGGACTTGGACGTATGTTCGGATTAAGTTTTGGATAATCCGGGAGCATTTCGGCGCCTAATAGTAAAAGTTGGTTCTTTGAAGGTTTTAAAGTTCTTTAAATTTGGTTTGGAGTAGGTTTTTAGTGTTATTGAGGTCCAATTGAGATTTCGAGATTGGGAATAGTTCCATAATATTATTTAAGACTTGCACACAAATTTTAGTGTTATTACGAGTAGTTTAAGTACGTTTCGGTGCGTCGGGAGTAAATTGAAGAACTCGAAGTTCATATTTTTGATTCAATTGGTTTGGGGTGTGATTCTTAGTTTTGATGTTGTTTCGTGCATTCTGAGAGTTCGAGCGAGTCCGTTTTATGATTCCAAACTTGTTGGTACGGCCGGGCCGGGCCCCAGGGGCCTAGATGTTAAGCGGACGAGGCTCGAATCAAGTTTTGGCTTAAGGAAAATGCTGAAGCTTTTAGCTTCTGGTGTAAACGCACATGTGCTTGGCCAGCCGTAGGTGCGAGCTCGCAAGTGCGAGCTACGAGCCGCAGAAGTGGATCAGCAAAAGGGAGGCCAGTGACCATAGAAGCGGGCCATAGACCCCACCTGCGAAGGTGCAGGTGCGAAGGCAGCCATCGCAGGAGCGGATAAATTCGCAGGTGCGCATATTTTGCCGCTAGTGCGGGTCTGCAGGCGCAATCGTCTGAGCGCAGAAGAGAAAGGAAGCAGCCTGGCTTTGGTCCGCACCTGCGTGATTTTGTCCGCAGAAGCGGAACCGCACGTGCGATAGTGGCACCGCAGGTGCGAAAATCGCAGAAGGCAGAACACTTTATGTAATACGGGACTTAGGCATTTTTGCCCTTTTCTTACACTTCTTAGGGCGATTTTGGAGCTGGTTAGAAAGGGATTTTCATCAACCAATTGAGGTAAGTAATTTCTACGAAATGTGAGTTAAATACATAATTTATGGATAGATTATAACATGTAAATTAGTGAAAAATCATAGGTTAGATGAAAAACTTAGGGTTTTGGTAAAAATGATATTTAACCACGAAAATGGTTATGGAATTTAGTAAAAATTATATATTTGAATTCATGAGGTTATGAGTAATGACTTCCTTTGAAAATTTCTTGAATCCGGGTATGTGAGCTCGGGGGTGAATTTTAGTAATTCTTCAATTGGGGTTGGGTAATCACTTTGATAGTTAGGATATGAACTTTTGAGCATGCATTGACTATTTTATAT